AAAGGTACATCTGAGTTTTCTGTTACAATGCCTTTGACATTTTGAAAATCACTCTCTCAAGTACTAAGGTAACTCCAGATGAGCTATTTATTACCAGACTAGATTTCAGTAAGAATTCTTATAAACCATATCTACACAGAATGCACAGACAGTGAGAAGTTTTCTGGCCCTTTGTTCCAAAGGGTGTTGGATTATCCAAGAGACTCTTTTTTTCCAGAGATTGAGAAATTTCTTGTTATATATTTTTTTCTTTTTTTTAACTGAGGTAACATTGGTTTACACTGTTGGTATTTTGGAAATTCAGAATCTCTACCACTTCAGTATAGTTACTGTAACTCTAGCCACCATAGCACCTATAGGATATCACCATATTCCATTGTGTTCCCTTCCTACTTTGCTCTCATCCCTACTGCTCAGGATGCCATAGTTCTGTGGTCAGCTTTCAAGGGTTAATTATAAAGTTTGTCTTTTTGACCCTTTGTTTGGCTTCTCTGTATTCTACATGAAAGTGATACCATCTGATATTTCTTTTTCCTTTTAACTTATTTCACTTAGCACAATTCCTATCTGCTCCATTCATGTGGCCACAAATGGCATGGATTTGTGATTTTTGATCGCTGAGTAATAAGATGCAGTTAAAATTATAATTAGCACTTATGTAACAATTCCTATTTCCAAGTTGATACCTTGTGCCTTGAGTGTAATAATCAGTAATTTAGATGACATCAGCTGTGAATAAGTCAAAGCAAAGATTGAGCTAAAAATTTTTGGTTCACATTTTTCTCATTAATATGTACATTAAATTACTGTATATAGGTCAGATTTTTTGTTATTGTTATATTTATTTTTTTATAGGTCAGTTTTTATTTTACCTATTATCTTATCAGTATGGAAAGTACCATGAAGAAAAATATTACTTATGCTACTTTTGTTTGGGAAGGTATATTGTAGTCTAAAATGCTAAACTAAAAATCCTGTCTCAAAGTTTGTACCAAATTTAGCATTGGAAATTCTGTTTTCTAACGTCACTGGATTTTCAGATTGTGGTTATTTGTGGGGATCCTAATAGATATTCTTTGAACGGAAGGTTAACATAGCCCAACTTTTAAGACAGGACCTGAATGATGCTACTACTTTGACCTTTGATTCCAAGTTATGAATGTGAAATTGTAGGATCAGTACCCTTGATGGCAGGAGACATGTTTACTTCATTCAACAGATTTTTATCAACTTACTAGTATGTGCTAGAGACTATTGTTGTTATTAGTAATATAACAGGAATCAGGTTCCTACTCCTGTGAAATTTATATTCTTGAGGAAGGACTTAGCAATAATTAAAAGAAATTTTATTATTTGAAATGTATGTAAAATACATGCATAAGATATATTCTAATTCATAAATATACTGTATGTCAAAGATAATGGTTACTGAGAAAAATCAAGCTCAAAAGGCATATAAGGTGCCCAGGGAAGGAGGATTGCAGTTATGATTAATAAATAGGGTTGTTTTGAGACATTTAAATAAGAGAGATTTAAATAAGGTCTTGAAGGAGTCAAGGGAACAAGCTGTGCCTATCTTGAGGAAATGTGCTCTAGACAATGTGCTCATGGACAATGAGAAGGCTATTGCTAAGGCTATTGCTGGAATGCAGAGGAGTAATAGATTAAATCAGGATAGGGCAAGGGAGCAAATCTAGTCCAGTCTTTTTGACTGTTTTAAGAGACTTTTACTAGTATTCTGGTAGGTTGTCTTTTCACTTTCTTGATAATACCCTTTGTTGCACAGAGTTTGTAATTTTGATAAAGCAGTTTATTTTTTTTTCTTTTGTTGCATATGCATTTGGTGTTACATATAAAATAATCTATTGCTTAATGCATGGCAATAAAAATTGACATTTTTCCTAAACTTTTTATGGCTTTAGTTCCTACATATGATCAGTTTGACTTAATATTTGTGTATGATATGGGGTGTTAATCCAGTTTCATTCTTTTTCTCTTTCTCTCCTCCTCTTCCCCTCTCCTTCTCCAATGTCTCCTCCTCCCCCCAACCCCCACTTTCTGACGGATTTGAGAGATTTCTTCTTTCTAAGATAGGCCTCTGCTGCTATAAATTCCCTGAGGGTGGCTTTACTGCCTTCCATAATATTTGATTGTGTTGTGTTTTCTGTAAGTATTTTCTAATTTCACTTGTTAATTCTTCTTTGGTCCACTGGTTTATTTACATTTCATTACTCATGGAATCCCTATTTCTGAACTCACCTACTCAAATTTATATGTAACCCCAAAGTCAGTACATTCACGAGTATATGGGGAGTGGCAAAACTTCTGAGTCACCTTAGTGTGCATATTCTCAGCTGAAGTTGAACAAGCAAGCACTCTACCTTCTTGTTTCAGTTAGTATACTATAAAAACGAGCAATTTAGTGCCGTTTTTCACATTTTTATGCCCTTTTTGTGGTTTTGCTATTTGAAAAGCATAATGATAAAGAGCTGACTAGTGTTCATAATCACAAGTAGTTGTGATATTCTGTTCAAAGAAAATACTTTTGTTAGATAACATTCATTGCTTCAAAATTGGAGTTTCATTGCCCATGAGTTCAATGTTAGTGAATCAACAATACAGTACATTTAGTGAAAGGGAAAGGAAACTTACTGACCTTATTATGATGTAAGGCTACTCTGGAAAGTGCCAAAGTAGTGTCTATAACATAAGATAAAACTATGAAAAGTAGGAAAATAGTTAAATTTGTGGAGTCACGAGATGATAATCATTAAAAAGAAAAAGCATAGTGGACAGCGCTGGTGTAAAACTAAAAGCCATATCCAGATAAAAGAAGTTTAAAGCCATACCCAGATTAAGGAAAATATTAAGCTGTTACTCTATAGTGTTGACTGACTTACACATTTCAAAAGATGATAGCTTGAAAAATGTTCAAATTGCAATGAATTTGAGGCATGATCAAAAGACTGGGAGAATTTTTAATGTATCTGCAAAGTTATGGTGGAAAAGAGCTGTGTGGAAAAGTAGTTTTCATTGCTCATAAGACTGGTTTATAAAACTGTTTGCATCACTTATTTGAGGTTCTGTTGTTTGATGTTAATATGTTTATAGTTGTTATGTTTGAATTAATTGATCCCTATTTCCTATGTCAGTATATATGTTCCTTCTGTCCTTGGAATATAGGTTTTTCACTTTAAGTCTATTTTGCCCGATGTATGTACATGAAACTTATGTAGTCAGAATTGGATCAATTGCTCCCCAGAATGTATTTCCACAAAAATAACTAGGGGAATATATTCTGAAGCTATAAACTACATACTGAAAAAAATCAAATAATCAATTAAAAATAAAAGTGATTTATTTTCCCAAGTAGTCACCTTATTCCAGTGAGGTCTAAAGATCCACTGGAGTGGGATAAAGGAATATAAAAAAATTTAAATGTTGTACATCTAGCTTGATAACATTCCTAACTCTCATGTTACTTGGAGATAGTAAATTTCAATAAATGTGGATTGTATTAAGTTAAGTATTCAGTTTTCAGTATCCCTGCTCAAAACTCCTTTTCCTCTACCACTTGATGTAATTTAAGAGAAAACCATAGGAAATTTTCTTATTATTTGTTCAGTTCTCCTTTGCTTATTAAACAGTTGTTTAAAAAGTTAACAGAAATATTAAAATGACCTGCTACGGCGACAGAAACTTCTCTCATCTGTTTTATATAAGTAGCCTCCTAACTAGTATCCCTGTTTATACCCTCTCTCCCTTACTGTCTAATCTTTACCTGGCAGCCATCTGATGATCAGCATTGAGTGTGACAGTTTTATTCAAAACCCTGCAATGCCTCTTTGAAGATAAAAGTCAGTTTTTCACAGTGGCCTTATAGTCTGTAATTGCTCTGGCCCCTCCTCTGCTTGCTCAGGACTCACCTTTTCTACTTGAGCTCTCTCTGCCCTGATCATATTAACTTCTTTGCAGCCACATTTTCTCATTAGAGACTTTGCTTTGTATGTACCATCTTTCTGGTATATGGTCTTCCCTCAGAGATACACTTGATTAATTTTCTTGCTTCCACACAGCCTTGCCTTAAACCTCAGCTTTTCAGTAAAGCCTATACTACCTGTTATTTAATAATTTAACCTATTCCCACAATCAAAGTCCTGTACTCTTGACCATATTTCTATTTACTGTTTTAATGTAATAGTGACTCAATCTGACTTCTTATTGAGCCATCTTGAACTCTTACTGAACTATCTATGCTTTAACTCCATTCATAAATTTGAAGTCTTCAGGCATTGATGACCCTAAATGTGTTCCTTACTTCCTTTACAAACTAAGAACCATGCCCTTCCATCATTTCCTCCTCCTCTCAAGTATTAGGAACTTTTTCAAGGCCACTTCTTTATCAAGTATGGGTTGTTAGCATTTTACATTTTTACCCTTTCAGTTCCCAATATCTTAACCAAAATTTTTCTCAATAAGGTTACCACTTGAAATTTCAGGCACAGAAATAGAAAACAAATTATGTGTTAAATATTGCATACAAGATGGGGAAATGTCAACAGAAATTGCAAATAGCATTCACTAATGGAAAAAAGAGGAAGATAATATCTAGTTCTCCTCCCAAGGGAAGCAAATACTCCTACATGGACCAGATTCAGGCAGGATTCCAGAAGTGTTTTCATTAAAAACAGGTCTCCTACCTGTTTTTCTTCTTCTGTAGTGATTGAGTCTTTACTGTAAAGCAAAAACGACATTTTCCACAGAGAACAGTCTAGAAACAGCAGATTCCATTCTTTTGTTCATTCATGCAAAAAAATTATGTGAATGTGTGCTGTGTACCCTGCTTAGGGTTAGGTCCTGGGGAGACAACAGGGAGTAAAAAGCAATAGCACATTGCTTCTGTTTTCCTGGAAGATTGTAGTATAGTGATTTATTTTTTTATTTTCTTGTTTATATTTAATCTAATTTATTTACTAATTTTATTTTTTTTTCCCCTTTAGTATCCCCTTATATATGGACTGATTCTTATTCCCTGCTGGTGTTCTCTAGTTTGCCTAAGTAGAATTTACATGGGAATGCACTCCATTCTGGTAAGGAAAATACTGTATTCATAGTGCTTTATTTTTTCTGAAATTGATGACAATTTTATTATACTTAATTATTTACAAATTTAATGAGGAAATACAGTTATTATAAATCTTCTATTTTGCAAATTACCAGTATCATGCTTTGTGAAGTTTTAATGTAGTAATCATGCATTTTATAGAAATTGTTCCCAGCCACCCCAATAACCAAGTATTCAGGAAAACATTTCTCTCTCCTTAGTTTCAGCTTTGCCTTCTTATTTTCTTCTAGGCCTCTCCTACTGCTGTATCAAAATCAACAATGTGAATACAGAGACCAAAGAGAGTTCTACTTTTATTAGTGAAGACCTAGTAACTAGAAATTAAATGAACTTAAACTATACTGGTGCCATTAGAAATTAAATGAACTTAAACTATACTGGTGCCACGTATTTAAATATAAAATCTAGATTTGTTTTTCCCAGTGGTATTTTAGAACTCATATCAGATGTTTTGAGAAATTCACTTTCAAAGACAATAGAAGCACAAGCTCATTAGCCACACCCAATCATTTCCCTTTTCTCTATTACTATTGATATTCCATCAATTCTGGCCTATGTCATTTCTTAACCCAATATTGCAACAGCTTTTAGTTAGTTAGTAGCCCTTCCTGTTTGACATCACTCCACCCAGCATTTAGTAGCCTACTGTAGTCTACTTATGTTTTACTTAGTACAAAGTATGTTTCTTACTTTCAGGAAATCTGTAAGCCCTGCTTGGAATGACCTTTTCTCTTTCTTTACCTAATTATATTATTCATTCCTCAGTCCTCAAAGAAATGTTCTTATCTCCTCAAAGGACACTCAGTGAACATGCCATGTGTTATCTTGTAGGTAAAGGATCAAAAAAATGGTGGAGAATATAAACTACTTCAGGAACCCAAAATTTTCTGATGGGTTATATTGAATTTTTGTCTTTAACAGCAATGTAATGCTTTTTGAATTTTCTACTCATAAAAAATCTTATTAGCTGGACTCATAGCTGTACAGATAGTGAGTTTCTATTTCTTACTTAGATAACTTGTCTTCAGCAGTTGCACTTCACTTGTAAATTTTCAAGCCCCAAATGCTATTTTAATATGCAAACTCTTTATATTTTACTTTTTATAATTATTTTAATATAACTTGTGAATTTACCTGTAATTCTATCTTCCTAACTAATTATCTACTAATTTTATGAGAGTAAATACCACATTTTTCTGTCAAGCCTAATATTTGTCACAGAAAATATCCATGAAAAATATCCATCTTTGTGTCTTTTAGAGTTTTCCCCTTCCATTCCCAGAAAAAGGGAATGTTTTAGTAGTTTAGTAGTTTAGTATTTTTTATATACTGAATAATATCTGTTTGTGAGTCAGCTGAAGTAAAAACAATGTTGATACATTTTTCAAGTCATGAGTCTGATAACTACAACTACAGTTCTTTATTCAAAACCATCTTGGCCTATAGAATGTTTTATCAGCTTTACTTAGATTAGCTACTGAGTTATATTCCAAGTTTTTGTTTTACTTTTAAAAGTAAAGTCATGAATGACTTGCAAGCACTGTGAATTATGATTCTGTGTTATAAGTACAACTATTCCTAAGTAATATTGCTAATTATCTATCATACAAATTAGTCATATATGTCTAATAATCATGTAATCAATTAACACACTATATTAATCATACATTATATTAATATATGTCATATTTTAATAATATAGTTATACATAGTATATAAGATCATTATATGATGCTAGTGATATATTAGTAATTATTAATACATGATGTTAACATTACTTATATTAACACAACATTCATATATCAATCATGCAATATGTAAATATATTCTAATTATATATTAGCATAGTATATTGATATCATATATTAGCAATTATTAATATATCATTATCATTTAATAACATAAGATTTTTAGCAAATAAAAAATATAAAATGACATAATGAACCCCCTTTTTTGCATTGTAGATCGGTATATTCTCACAATTTACTTTTTTTCTATAGTGTTTCAGTAATTGCCTGTATTTTGAACTATTTTCCTAAATATAATTTGTATCTTCATTGCTTATTGAGAAATTAGTATGGAATTAATAGGTAGTATGTTGTGTAAGGTGCTAAAAGTTGCTTAATTACTACATTAGCCAAGTTGATACCTTCATTAAGACGTGAGTTCTAATTAATTTATAATGAATACTTCATTCAGTATTTGCCATATGCTTAGTTTTTAATGTTACAACACAACACAAATGCTTAGTTTATTAGTTTATTTTTATCATCCAGGCAATTCACTAAATTGATCATCAGAAAAGTAGAGAGGAATTGTTATGTTAAATTTGTCTTTACTGTCAAACCTAAGTCTCAACATTTAATTTCTTAAAGTAAAACGCAGCTCATTTAAAGTTACTACACTGAGTATTTGTAAAGCTATTATTTCTTTCTACATTAGTAAAATAGGAATATGTTGTAATTGGCATTCACCCAAAATTGTACCAAAACTTTTTTTTTATATATATAATAATTTATCTTTACATCATTTTGTGCATTTTTCCATCTCATTTGCAATGCCTTTGGGCTTCCCATCACCAAATCACCCATATGCCATCACCATAGTCCAGTGCATTTCCCGCCTCCCGCTGTTTCTGATACCATTCCCCACTCCACCCCCACAAAATGTCTCTGGTATATAGCTGTTCATCATTATCATTATTTTCTGGCCTGTTCCCTTATATTCCTGCTATGAGAGAAACCATCTGGTATTTTTCCTTTTCTTTCTGGCTTATTTCACTAAGCATGATCTTTTCCAGCTCCATCCATGTTGCTGCAAAAGACATGTGTTTCTTTTTTTTGGTTGCTGAGTAACATTCCATTGTGTATATGTACCACACCTTTTTAATCCAGTCATCCATTTTTGGGCATTTCGGTGGGTTCCATGTCTTTCCAATTGTGAATAAAGCAGTGATAAACATGGGGGTGTAGGTATCTTTTTCAATCAGTGTTTTTGTGTCTTTTAGGTAGCTACCTAGGAGTAGGATTGCTGGGCCGTAGGGAAGCTCCATGTTTAGCAATTTGAGGAAACTCCAAACAGTTTTCCATAGTGGTTGTACTAGCTTGCATTCCCACCAGCAGCAGGAGAGTTCCTTTTTCTCACATCCTCGCCAACATTTGTTGTTGCTAGTTGTTTGAAGATGTGCCACTCTCACTGGGTGAGGTGGTATCTCATTGTGGTTTTGATTTGCATCTCCTTATTACAAGTGATGTTGCATATGTTTTCACATGCTTGTTGGCCATCTGCATTTCCTCTTTGGAGAAGTGTCTTTTTAGCTCTTTTGCTCATTTTTTGGGGTTGTTTATTTTTGTTGAGTTCTTTGTATATTTATGTGATCAATCCTTTATTGCTAGTTTTATGTGAGAATTTTTTTCCCAATCAGTGGGATGTCTCTTTGTTTTTTGTAATGTCTCTTTTGCTCTTTAACTTGATGTAGGCCCACCTATTTATTCTTGCCTTTACTATTGTTGCATTGGGTGCTCTATCTTTAAAGATGTCGCTGAAGTGTATGTCATATAGTGTTTGGCCCATCTTTGCTTCCAGGTATTTTATGGCTTCCGTTTTTATGTCTAGGTCTTTAATCCACTTTGAGTTGATTTTTGTGTATGGTAGTGATCTAGTTTCATTTTTTTGCATGTAGCTTCCCAGTTTTCTCAGCACCATTTGCTGAACAAGCTTTCTTTGTACCATTGTATCTTCTTTGCTCCTTTGCCAAAGATTAGCTGTCCATAAACCTGTGGGTTTATATCTGGGTTTTCTATTCGAATCCACTGGTCTATGTCTGTTCTTGTTCTAGTACCATGCGGTTTTGATTATTATGGCTTTGTAGTATAGCTTCAAGTTTGGGATTGTAATGTCTCCATTCTCTTTCTTCCTAGTCATGAGAGTTTTGGCTATTTGAGGTCTTTTGTTATTACATGTGAATCTCATCAATATTTTTCCTATTTCTTTTAAGAATGTCATTAAGATTTTTATTGAGATGGCGTTAAACCTGTATATTACTTTTGGTAGAGTGGCCATTTTAATGATGTTAATTCTCCCAATCCATGAGCAGGGGATGTCTTTCCATTTCATGGTGTCCTCCTGTATTTCTTTTAACAGTGTTTTGTAATTTTCTTTGTATAGGTCTTTTACCTCTTTTGTTAGGTTGATTCCCAGGTATTTGATTCTTTCTGTTGTAATTGAAAAGGGGATTTTTTTTTTCTGTTTCTTCTGATTGGTTGTTTGTGTATAGGAAGGCCTCTGATTTTTGTGTGTTGATTTTATATCCTGCTACCTTGCTAAACTGGTTGATGGCTTTGATTAGTTATTTTGTGGAGTTTTTAGGGTTTTCCGTGTAGATTAACATATCATCTGCAAATAAGGACAGTTTTATTTCTTCTTTCCCTATTTGGATTCCTTGTATGTCTTTTCCTTGTCTTATTGCTCTGGCTAGAACTTCCAGTGTTATGTTGAAGAGCAGTAGCGATAGGGGACACCCTTGTCTTGTTCCTGACCTCAAGGCAAAGGTTTTCAGCTCTTCTCCATTGAGGATAATACTGGCTGTGGGTTTGTCATATATGGCTTTTGTCATGTTGAGGTATGTTCTTTCTATTCGGAGGATTTCGAGGGCCTTAAACATAAATGGGTGTTGAACTTTGTCGAATGCCTTCTCCACATTGATATGATTATGTAGTTTTTATTTTTCTGTTGGTTGATGCGATGGATTACATTGATTGATTTTCTGGTGTTGAACCATCCTTGTGCTCCTGGGATAAAGCCCACTTGGTCATGGTGTATTATTCTTCTAATGCATTGTTGGATTCTGTTTGCTAAGACTTTGTTGAGGATTTTTGCATCAGTGTTCATTAGGGAGATTGGTCTGAAGTTTTCTTTTTTTGTGTTTTCTTTGTTAGGTTTGTACCAAAACTTTTTATATCTCTATGTGGAAAGTCTATTCAAGAAGGTATTATAAGACTAAAAAGTAGTATGTACCTCTTTATAACAACCTACTTTATAACAAAAAATAAAAATTAGATCAAGTAAAACAAAACCAAAAACATGTCTTAAAGACCTAGAACAGTAAACATTAAGAATTTTAATGTAGTTATTCCTGGTTAATAACTGTTTCTTATTGTTTATCTTATTTTCTATAGTGATTATTTATTCACTTTGAATTTTAATTAAAGTTTCAAAAACCATCCTTAATAGTACCTGTTTAATCAAATATAGTACATTACAATGATACATTTTATTTCATAGAAACCCTGGCATTTTAAAATTAGAACCAGGATAGTTGGCTACAAAAGAAATGTTTTATGTTATAATAATATCCTATTTAAGATAATAATAAAACACCAGGAGACTGTAGGGAGTCCTGAATTCTAGTCTCAGCAAATCACTAACTTCTGGATTTCTATTTCCTGATCATTAGAAAAGAAAAGGAGAAAATTCCAGATATTTAATTTAGAGCTATTAAGCTTTTCTTCTACTTTAGAATAAATTTGTAGTTGTATATATATGTTTTATATGTTACATATATATTTTATATATACAATTCATCAGTTATCATTTATTTAAACATCTATAACTTGGTTCACCTTCTATAATAGAATTAAAAAGTTTAGAACATTTCCACATTGGCATTTAACTTAAAACTTTGAGTAACTTTCTAGTGAAAATGGTGAAATTTAAATAAAAAATTAACAGTTTCTAATCCAGAAGCCAAAACCCAGTGGTTGTGCCTTGAGATGCGGCTTTTAATTACTGTTACAGGAGAAAGGAAAAGATAGCAAATGGAATGTAACCTTTGGCAATTAGGGATGTGAAAAATGAATAGAAGTTTCATTGTAAAATAATTTGATATCTCATATCCAAAAACATAATCACAATTTGATTATGTCATCCACGAAATCTTGGAGTTTTTACAGTAAAATTCAGTATGTATAGTTCATATGTTTCCATGAATTGTCATAGAAGACCTGGTTTAAAACTGACTGTTGACACAATCAACCCATGGCAAAGAGTTATTTAGTTGATATTCAGTGAAAATTTGGAATATATTTACTATAAAAGGTGAATTGAAATTTTTTTTTTTTAAAAAACATACCTGTATTTTTTTGGGGGGAGGGAAGACTTTTTTAACCATGAAACATTGATAAACATGACTATATTATAATATAGAACTTCTGTTTATCAAAAGCTGCTATTCAAAAAATGAGATGTCGTAAACTCCAAAATGATGCTCACAACAAATTATTGATAAAAAGATTTACATTATTGATAAAGGATTTATATTAAAACTGTATATATACATATACATATATATATAAAGAAATCATGTAAATCACCAAGAAAAAAATGAAAGTCCAAAAGAATAATTGCAAGAAATTTTGGCAAAAATGTGGAAAAAAGGAACTCTCTTACACTGTTGGTAGGAATGCAAACTGGTCCAACACTACATAAAACTGTATAGAGGTTCCTCAGACTACTAAAAATGGAGATAACCCTGCAATTCCACTCCTAGGAATCTACCCAAAGGACACAAAAACATTAATTCAAAAGGATACCTGCACCCCTGCATTTATTGTAGCACTATTTATAATAAGTAAGGTATGGAAACAGACCAAAAGCCCCAAAATAGATGATTGGATCAAGAAGATGTGGTATATATACACAGTGGACTCTTATTCAGCAATCAAAAAAGATACTCCTGCCATTCATAGCCACACATTTGGAGCCAGAAGGGATTATACTCATTGAAATAAGCCAGAAGGAAAAAGAAAATATTTCACTTGTAGGTTTCACTTATAGGAGGAATATAGGGGAACCAAATATCAATAATAAAAATAAAAGTATTGGTCCTCCCTGGTGGCGCAGCGGGTTAAAGCACAGCACTAAGAAGCTGAAACCACTTCCGCATGAGTTCGATTCCGCCTGCCCCGGAGGTTGACCACATGGTGTGGCAGAACTCTCCTGACCCACCCGCTGCTCCCCTCAGCAGCGTACTTCGTTGATCTGCCTGTTCTGCTCCCCACTCTGTCTCTGGTGAAGTCTTTCGCCACCCCTGAGTCTCTGGCCTGTACCCCAGTTCTGTGTGCACAAATAAATAAATCTTAAAAAAAAAAATAAAAAAATAAAAGTATTAGCAGGCAACTATAAATCAGAGACATTCTGCAAAGAAGCAGGAAGTAGAGGAACCACAATAGGGAGAGAAGAGCACAAGGAACTATGGTGATGGTAAATTGTAGTGGGACTTTTACAAGGAATATACATGGAAGGAGAAAGCATACAAGCATACCTTGTCCAAATATGACCAGTGATGTAAAATATGTGTGAATAAAAGAGTAGTTGCCTAGAAGATACAAATACACATTACATGGAAAAGAAATTGCCCATAAACTTGTGAAAAGGTACTTATAATCAGGAAAATGTAAATTAAGCATTTATGAATACCAAAAACTGATGAGATGTAAATTTCTGTGAACATTTAGGAATATTTAAAATTTTCTTGTCAAATTGAACATGCACATAGCTTATCATTCTGCCATTTTATTCTTAGGCATGGTTCATTGAAAAACTCTTACAGACTTTTACCAAACCTAAACTTTCAAAAGAAAACATAGCATTATTTGTAATATTCCTGGTTGGCTTAAGAACAGATACCAATTAAGAAAGCTTGAATGCTTTCTCAGCCATAACCAAAGAATTAACTCAAAACCTGAAAATAGCTTAAATGACTGACCGTAGGAAAATGGGTAAGTAAATTATGTAATCCTGTAGTAAACTACCTTTGCAGATGTAAAGGTGAATGACCTGCAAATGCATAAAATGAATGAATCTTTAAAACTTAATGTTAAGTGTAAAAAGCAAATCAAAGGAGACTGCCTACTAATAACCATTTTCATAAAATTAAAAAAGAACCAGGCCCAAGTAATCTTTATTTTGGATTTATGTTATAAAGCAGTTTTTGAGAACAGGCTATGTAGTCAGCTAAAATTCAGATTTATGACAGTGTGGGAAGAATACAGAGTGATAGGCTTGGGAGTCAGCACACTAGTAAATTCAGAGTTCTGGTTAATACTGTAGTCTTTTATTGGACATAAATTCCATAGATGTTGATTTTGTAATTTTACATATACATCTTTTCCTTTGTGCTAAGTATTATATGATAGCATTTTTAAGACAGTAAAACATTTGAGTATCTAACGTGCTGCTTAATGATATTGAATACTGTTGAGAAGTGAACATTTTTTTAGGCAGCATAAATATAACTAGTATCTGTGAAAACTAAAACAGTAATTTTAGTGCAACAATGAGCTTATGGGAAAAAATAAGACAAAGAAGTGAAGGCAATAAATATAAGCGACCTCTTGGGAATTTTTTCAATGATAGTAGATTCAGGATTTTGCATTCTTCATTTTTTTTTTTTTTGCATTCTTCATTTTAAGGTGAATATCCTGGAATATTTTTGTTCATGCAAGGAATGATTCAGCAAAGTTTAAAAAAAATAAGTTTTATTTCTTCCAGTAAACCATTTTCTACATCCCAGTTTTTCATACTGAAAAACTAGGAATCATCTTGGATATCATTCATGTAGTTATGGGCCACATAATCAACCTTTCTTGCTTACTTACATGTCTCCTATTTTCTGTACTGTTCTCCTATACTCTATTCTCTACATAGCATATATAGTATTCTTTTACAAATGTCAATCATGTTGTGTAATAGTCTTATTTTGGAATCTTTCAGTAGGTCCCTCTAATTTTTGGAATAAAATCTAAACTCCTAACTTAGCCTATAAGGACCCTACATGATTTGACTTATGCCTTTTTCTTTAATCTCTTATCACATCCTTATTCTCTTTGCTCACTACTGTCACACTGAATTTTTCTCAGTTCCTTGCAAATTCACTAAACTATTTTCTGCCTCAAGGTCTTGGCACTTGATATTCCTTTACCAACAACGCATTTCCTAGAAATTTGGGACCAACTCCTTTTTAGAATCTGTTCTTTGTGCAAGTGTTACTTCCTGAGAAAGGCTTCCATAATTTTCAGTTTTTTAAAAATCATGTCATCCCATTGTTCTGTTTTAGTTTCTCTGTAATATTTTAACCACTTGCAAATTGTCATATTCATCTACTTGTTCACTTATATGATCATCGTCAGCCATCCCTACGGAAGAAGTTCTGTGAGAGCAGTAATCTTGTCATTTTTAAAGCAATGTATTCTCAGCCCTTAAAGTATCAATAGTACCCGTATTCAATAAGTAATTGTTTTGTGAATGAATGAACTAATAAAAGAAACTACCTATGCTTTGTATCTTCTTGAGTCATGGAAATAATTACATATTTAAGTGCATGAAAATGAAGGATATTTCTTTAAATAATTTACTTTCTTCTCCCAAAATCAGAACTATATAGTCTAATAATTTATTGTTTAGGATTTAACTATACATTTGTGCATAATGTAGTTAATTTATATAAGAATGAACTTACTTAAACAATTATTATTTATCAATAAAGTTATAACCATTTTTAGTGCCTACTGTATGATCAGTTGATAAAATTTGCTTTGAGGATATGATATTTAAAATATGTATACAACTGTAATATTTGAACTATGAAATACATGAATTTTTTACTGCTAAAAATAGTATACTAAACAACTCTACTTTTCTCTTTTCCCAGGATATTATTGCTGGATTCCTATATACCCTTTTAATCTTAGCTATCTTCTATCCGTTTACGGACCTGATTGACAACTTCAACCAAACTCACAAATATGCTCCATTAATTATCATCGGGCTTCATTTAGCATTGGGGATTTTTTCTTTTACTCTTGATACCTGGAGTACATCACGAGGAGACACAGCTGAGATTCTAGGAAGTGGTGCTGGAATTGCATGTGGATCTCATATTGCCTATAAAGTGGGCTTAGTATTAGATCCTTCCCTGGATATGTTACCTTTAGCTAGGCCCCCCCTTACTGTGACTCTATTTGGAAAAGCCATATTGCGGATCTTTATAGGGATGGCATTTGTATTATTAGTCAGATGTGTGATGAAAAAGGTCACCATTCCTTTAGCATGTAAAGTCTTCAGTATACCGTGTGATGATATTCGGAAAGCTAGACAGCACATGGAAGTTGAACTTCCTTATCGCTATATTACCTATGGAATGGTTGGTTTCACTATTAGTTTTTTGGCTCCTTATGTATTTTTTTTTATTGGTATATCCTGATGAAGAAAGATTGTTTATGATAAGAAAGGTGGGAATCAGTTAATGACATACAAAAATATTTTCTAGGAAAAAGCCAACTCAGAGTTAGGCTTTTGCAGGAATTTAACTTAAATAATTATTTAAGTAAATTCATAAGGGCCAGTGCATTTTATCATTGCACATCCAGATATTGATTTCAGCCAGCTGAGCTATTTCAACACTGAAAAATGATATGTGTCCATTTAGAATGTTTAGGTAACATTTGGACAGTTTTGTGCTGTTATGGATTCAAGTTATATATAATATATATTGATAGATACCTGTGTATCTAGTATATGTTATATATAAGACAATATGCCTAAGTTTTTTTAACTGGGGGTGAATTATAAAATCAGTAATAATATGCAAACAGTTGTTTCTGTGTATTTGGACTTAATACAGGTATATTGTTATTAACAGATATATTTAACATTTATTTACTGTGGGAGCCATCTCCAGACTATATAAATTACTAGACCAGAATTCATATGCTACCACATATTGATTTACTGCCTCTTTTTACACTGCCATCATCTTTCCTGTTACCCATGATGTTGAACATGGGAGGCATTTTAATGGACCAAATGTTCAGAAAAATAAATTTTTAGGTTTCTTTTTCCCAGTTCTGTACATTGTGTTGAATGTACTTTGTTTGCAGCCGTTCTGGACATCAGTTTAATAATTCAGGTACTGAATTCTACTGCTTGCTAGTTGTGCCTTTCTGTTGCTGAATTAAGAAATGCCATATATACTGTGATATAAAAACAAGATAATAACTTTAAGATACATGTAATCAGGCAAGTATTTTAAAAACATATGTCAAGCTAACAGGGCTAAAAGCAAGCCACTCTTAATTTTTTAGCCTATATTTAGAAAGAAATGTGGAATGGGCTAAACTTTCTCACTAATTTGATGGGAAGTTAAATAAATATTTGCATTTTTAAGGTATTTTTCTGTGCATTGTAAGTTACGGGAACAAAATTTTTTTTTTGTTTATGCTGCAGGTAGATATCTCAATGAATGGAAATGTCATCGAAATTTATAAATGGGACAATGCACATGCTTTATGTGTAAAGAAACCATTTTTCTAAATTATTTGGAAAGGATTGGATGAAGAGGTATTAACTTCTAATATCCATTTATTAGTTACTCAAAGCAAGTTATAAAATCTAAAAACTATTAATATTTAGAATCCATTTTTTTTTTTTACTTTATTATTTTCACAGTGGAAAATTTGGGCATAGCTCTTCTTCTGTCTGTGCCTTTGTATTTTGAGGTGTAATTGTAATTGAGTTAAATTAAGTTTATTTATAGTAAGTTTTTCGTAAAGACGAGAATTAACTTTCCATATAAATGAGCATCAGGTATGGAATTACTGACTTCAGTGCAATATCTGTCTGATTATCCCGAAGTATCATTTAAGATGTTTCTATTTTGGGCAGCGTAACTATTTCAGCTCATATTTTTATAATTCTGACTGAGAATTTAAGGACATGGTAATTTTTACCAATACTGAATCTGATATTTTTAGTAAAGCCACTAAATTTGGAACTTTTGCCTACTAGTTTAAGGAAGCCAAGTCACTTAGGAACATATTGGTACGTTGGAAAATGTGCAGAACTTTTTTTTGAAAATGTGTTTAATGAATTGAATTTTAGAGACTATTCCCCATGACTTGGGTCTATGCTATCTTATTAATTTTTATATCTAGCTTAAAGGATATTTGGAAATATTTAATTTCTTTGTCTTTTTTTAATTTTCTGTCCTATAACAGTTCCATGCTAAAATGTATTTTAAAATAAAAGCCAAATTCAGGAATGAAGGATATTTTGTTTTGTTTTGCTTTGTGAATTTGTCTCTGTATTATCTGATAGAGATTTTGCAAATGTCTAGGAGTTTCATTCTATTTTATTCAAAATGTGAGTATTATATTCAATAGAAGACAATGAAAACTTCTCAAATGTTCAAACTGACTTTGGGCTCTGTAGTGATAGTTCTGATGTCTTACTTTTAATGTAAAGTAAAATTTTATAATATTTTAAAAGCTATGCATAATAATGTTTCAGTAAATTATGTAGCTTAATAGTATTGTAGGTAGTTGACTGCTGCTTTTGCATTAATGTCAGAAATTAATCATACATAATTCTAGTTAATTTTACTCTAATTCTAGGAATGGTACTTTCATATAGAATCAACATACAGACATTTAACTTTGTAATTTAAAATGGCATATATTGGAATTGCAAAAAATAGAATTCATTAGAAGATCTAATATAAATTTAAAGCAATGCTTTTATAGTAGATTTGCATTTTTATTTATTACTTTTCTGTATAATTAATGTTTATGAAATATCTTTCAGTGACAACATAAAAATCTAGTGATATGAATATAACTAAGCACATTTTCTCAAAGCATTTGAGAAACATGAATAAATACTAAATGCTTTTATTTTGAATATGCAGTCACACAAATCTTATATGTCAAGGGTTTTTTTAAAAAAATTTTGGCCAGGGTAATTTCATGTTAAGGAAAGACTGTGTATGATAGGTTTAAAAACCAAACCATTTAATCTAAACGTGAATAAGAACAAACTTTCAAATTCAGCTTAATAGTTGAATTAGTTTGTCTGAATAAGTTTTTTGTTGTTTGTAAGGAGACTTTGTAAGAGGAAAGAGGCAACAGTTTCAGGAAGAATAATTGAGCAGTGAATATCACTAAGGTTGATATTTCATCAAATTTTGGTCATATTCTTCTAGTTTCTTCTCAAATCTGTATAATTAAAGAGAAAAATTATATATATCTATGGTTGAGGTAAGCTATAAGTAGTGCAACAAAGGTAACATAGTAGAAAGTTCTTCATTTTTAGTCCAGCAGACCACTACAAATCTTAATAAAGAAAACATGCTTTTCCTGTGAGGCACAGAAATGAAAATTCAAAGAAAAAGAAAAGTATTTTTAAGTAAAAATGTTTATGGCAATACTAACTTTTTAGCCTGAACTAACTGGCATTTTCTAATTGTCCTTCTTCCCCTACTTACTGACTGTTCTATGCAAATTCTTAATATAAGAGCTCTCTTGTTTATCAGTATGATGTCCAGAATCTTTCATTGTCGTAGAAGCTTTAAAGAGGCTGTTTTTTTTTTATCCTTTTCCTTATCTTTAGTTTTCGTGCATTTTCCATGGATATCTGAAAGCCCATCCTCTAAGACTGTGAGCAACAGGACCTGACAGAGTATCTAATGACTATTGTTTAAGTTTTTTTTTTTCAATTTCTGAAAGCCAAAGGCATTTTAAAATTGCTTTGTAACCTATATGAACAGATTGTGTCATGACATCTCCAATATCATTAGATTTATTTTCCTTTTCGTTTTATTAGGCTTATTTCTAACCTTAATTATCATGATGTCCATTATCTCAGGTTTTAAAAGTTCATGTTTCACTATTTGTAATGTTTGATTTAATATTGACACATATTTTTAAAATTCCCATTGTTATAAGATTTTTCTTATGGGATGTAAAGGAGATTATCCCTTTTTTTAGATGCCACAATATTATTGCCTCTTCAGATTTTAGATTTAGCCCTTGTTCCAGATTAAGTGTCCTCGCAACTGATAGCCATTGTAGCACATACCCTACCTGTAATTACTTATGCATTATTTAATTTTTAAATTTTCTGGCTTTATCTGTACAATGTAAGCTCATGAGGAAAAGTAGCTTGTGTCTCTGTTTAATTCTGGATTCTTAAGACCCAGTAAATAGTATTCAGTTAATACATGTAGAATGATTGAATGACTACTCAATCCCTGGCAGGGTCAAAGGATACATTTTTCTGGGGAAAATTCTGCAACTTTCATCAGGCTCTCAGAGATTGAAGATCTAAAAAAGATAATAGTCTGCATTTTACTTCTTTTAGAAGTTTAGTTTTAAAATAATTGCTTCCAATTTATTTGGTAGGAATTTTCCCTGTATATACACACATATATACATAATATACATATATATATATATACACAATATATACATAATATATATGTATATACCTGAATATATATACGTATATATGTATACATATGTATATATATATACCTGAAAATATATACATATATATGGATATTACTCTAGTTTCTAGTAATTAGCCATATAAATGTCCTTGAAAATGTTACTTTGTACAGTTGATCCTTAGTCTTTCATGTAACCACCTACATCAATTTTTATAATTAAGTATTCCAGTCAAGTATTATTTATAGTTAATGTGGGTGAGATATATTCAGCACTTAAATATCTTTTTTTTTTCTTTTATGTACATTCAGTGAAAGATTCCTGGAGTCCCAAAGTCTCCAGGACCAGGTTTATGAGATTTAAATAGGGTTGGTGACACCAAAAGACACAAAAACACTGATTGAAAAAGATACCTGTACCCCCATGTTTATTGCTGCTTTATTTACAATTGGAAAAACATGGAAGCAGCCCAAATGCCCAAAAATAGATGACTGGATAAAAAAGATGTGGTACATATATACAATGGAATATTACTCAGCAACCAAAAAAGAGAAACACATGTCTTTTGCGGCAACTTGGATGGAGCTGGAAAAGATCATGCTTAGTGAGATAAGCCAGAAAGAGAAAGAAAAATACCGGATGGTTTCACTCATAGCAGGAGTATAATGGACTGGGCAAGAAAATAATAAGAATAATGAACAGCCATATACCAGAGACATTTTGTGGGGGTAGAGTGAGGAATGGGATCAAAAACGGGGTGGGGGGGAAGGAAATGCACGGGATTATGGTGATGGCACACGGGTGACCTGGTGGGAAAACCCGCGGGGGTAGGGGGAGGTGGAATAGGGTTGGTGACAATAAAGTAGATTCTGATTTCCCTAATAGTTTTTCTTGAAACTCAGTAGTAGTGTTATCACTTCTGGTGGTCAGAAAGATGCCATCACCTTCCCGGGAACACATTTGAGGGAAAAGTTGTGAAACAGGTTTTCAAGGCAAGACTCTTCTGCACTCTTGCTTTTTATTAACAGTAATGAGCAAGCGTGGTTGATTATGTGACAGTGGCAGGAGAGGCAGGGTTAAGGGGAGACAAAGGATAATCAGCTTTATGGGAGCAGAATCCAGGGGAGACCCAGATTACCTGGTAACTCCAGGTAATAATTTTTTATGGGGAACAGGAGGGGACATGTTGGCCTCACATACAAGGAGAACTTTCTTTGCTGGTACTTGGTGTAATTTCTGAATTTGAAAAAAATAGAAATACATAATCATAGAAGAATACTGTTTCTCTAGAGAAAGAACTTCTCTATTTCTTTGTAGCTATTCAAAGCCATGTTTGAGTTTTGCAAAATCAGGAAGTAACATTAACAGCTTATTTTCACTGTCTTTGATAGAGAAGTCCTAAGACTTAGTAAGTTGCAAATTATAATTTATAGTGTACAGTATATTGATTCATAGCTAAATGTCATTAAACAAAATCAAATACTTTGAGTTGAAGTATTTGACTTTTAAAAATTGAATGTTATGAAAAAAACCCTTTGTGATATTTGGTGAAGAGTGAGTGAATATGTGCAGTTATGGAGGAACAAAAGCATAATCCCCATATTAAATGTCTGACAAATAATAAAAATGAAAGTGCGTTTTCCCCATTTTTAAAAAATAAATTCATTTAATTGTGGTAACATTAATCCTCCCCATCAGGTGTCACCACTGTAATGTACCAAATCACCCATAGTCTACCACTATAGTCATTGTGCATTGTGCTTCCTTCCCTCTGTGCCTGCTCCCCAAACACTTCTTTAGATGCTTTAGTTCTACAGTCAGCTTTCAAGGGTTAGGTTTTGTTTGTTTTTTAAAGATTTATTTATTGATTCGTACAGAACTGGGGTACAGGCCAGAGATGCGGAGGGTGAGAGGATTCACCATAGACAGTGGGGAGCAGAACAGGCAGATCGACGGAAGTACACTGCTGAGGGGAGCAGCAGGTGGGTCAGGATAGGTATGCTGTGCCATGTGGATCTCCTCTGGGACAGGCAGGATTGAACTCATGCGGAAGTGGCTTTAGGTTCTCATTGCTGTGCTGTAACCCGCAG